TATATCTTCTCTAATTAAACTTTATTTTGAGGATAAAATTATCTAAAATTATCTAATGATGCCTATAATATTTGAGAATTGTGAAGATAATGTGTAAGAAAAAAATTTTAATTTTTTCTTTCAATGTAATAGTTGTTATAATTATATTTAAAATAATATAATTTAAAAGTAATCGAAACACGAAAATACAATTAAAAAGTAATATTAGATCTGAAATTAGATTTTTTATGATCGATTTATCCGAGTTAATCAATCAAATCTGACTTCATTCACAAGATGTTTTGCGAAATATACATAATATCTCGAGATAGTATATCATATCCAATTTACTTCGCCATTCATTTTAAAATATCTACGTTATCTGTTCTTTAAAATCCTTTTCTTAAAAATCTGAGATCCAATCTGTATCCATCCATTTCACAGACTACTAGATACTCTTTATCATTACCAAGACGTCGAATGGACATAAAATCAATGTCTCCAAATGGAGAAGAATAGGATAGATTGTTTCAAAGGATCTGCAAGAAAATCTGCAACCTAATTAATCCAGCGCAAAGTACTCCTTTTTACACAATCTACCGATAGTCGGCATCTCCTCGAGAAAGTATCTCCTCGAAGATTTTCTCCTCGATTGCCCGGAACGAAGAGGCGAACAAAAAGTGAATCGAAAAGAGCGACGACACAATCGAATTCCAGGCTCCAGTTCGAGGGGAGGAAAAGGGTGATGAAGTGAAAGGGGATAAAAAATTATGTGACGAATTGGGCGAGGAAAGGAAGGAAATCCTTATTGCCGTTCGAAATCAATTCTTGAGAAACAATAAAATAGCTATAAAACGGAAAGTGGAATGATATCGACACGATAACATGATTTAGGGGGTCGATAAAAATAATGAGCGGAACGGAATAAGATGGGAGTTTGCTTAAGTTTGTGAGTTAACCATTCGTGCGAGGAGTTTACGATGAGAAGTATAAACAATCAAATGGCTCTTGTACGATTTTTTCGATTTTGTCAATGAGAAAATGTTGTTTTATAAATGTAAATATAGGAATGGAAATTTGACGTGATTAAATTCTTAGTATAAACACGAAGGAATTGTTATAATTGACTGTTTATTAAATAACTGTTAGTTCTAAATTGTTAATATTTACTTTAATAATTATTATTTCTTAAACTATATTGAATTTTGTATTTAAAAATATACTTGTACATAACTTTATTTTTAATATTGTAAGATGTTGAATACGTACAATTATGTGTACATATTTATGCATTGAAATGATTGACTTAACAGTTATTTAAGATATTATGCGAAAGGAAAAATATTTAGAAAAGAATTTAAAAAAGATATCGATAGTCTTTAATCAAAATAATAAAGAATAATTCGTAAAAAATATTTCTAAGGTATGAACCAATCATTATATGAAATCATTGATATAAGAATGCTTTCTCAAGGTGTAATGATTTTGAAAATACGTAAGTGCCTAAATCTCGTGAAAATTTGATTCTCCATAGTACGAAAGACAAAAATGAATTCTAATTTAACAACAATCTCTTATTCTTCACTAACTCATCGAATAAACATGATACAATTGTTTTTGGAAAAAGACAGAAAGATTAAAATAAAACGAAAACATGACACGAAACTTATAGACTCATGAAACTCAGGTAGAGCATAGAGTGTGAATAAATTCGTGTGTAGTAGGGAAAAAAGCCAAAATGTCACCATCCCTGGGCCTTTCGTTTCTATTTCTTTATTCGTAGCAGCAACGTCCATGCTTTTCATCTCGATCCAGCTGTAGAAAGATGTAAGAGTGCATCGTTCCACTCTCCTTCTCTCTCTCTTTTTCTCGATTTTCTCGAATCCTCTTTGCCGTGCACGGTTGCCAGCCGCCTTTTATCTTACTTTCTATCCCCTTGGTGGCTGCCAACCACCTCCTGTTCCCCGTCCAACATCCCCTTTCGCACCCGAGGGAGGCACGAAGCTGCCACGCGGGAAAGGAAACGTGAAAAGGATGGCTGGAGCCGGTTTGAATCGGCTCTGATCCATGTGTTCTTCTTCTGTTTCCCTTCGATTCGAACGTTCAATAGCATGCGGGATCAATTTCGCCGATCTTATTTGATAGATCATTGAGGGATCGTTGAGGGATGGATTGTTCCTTCCCATAGGGAAACGAGGAAATTTGTTGGTCATGTCGGAATGGAATGGAATTGTAGGCATTATCCTGCCTTAAATCGATATCTTCCTTTCTGACTTCCTTTTTTTTTTGCGGATTGATTTATGATGTGGGTATATTATTGTATGGAAGATTGTAATTTGTTTTCTTTCTTTTTTTTTTTTTTGTGAATGAAATGGTGAAAATTGAAAGTTTTGATAATTTATTTGAAGTAATTTTGCGATTAAGGCATAATCAAAAATTTTTATTAATTAATATGAATATAAAAAGGAAATCAAAGGAATTCAGAAATCAATCGGTTTGAGTTTAATTATACTTTAAAAGTAATTTATGTTGTTCAAAAATCTTTTTATCATTCAAATTTTCAATTGACAGATCAATTGTATCACTGTTAAAAATTATGATAGAAATAATTAGCTAATCGATTTGTCAAGTCAAAGTTTAAAAGATAAAGAAATTTTTAAACTAAATAAATTATTTTCAAATAATTTGATTCATTGATTGACTTTTGAATATATATATATTTGCAGTCTTTTATATGTCCGATTTATAATTAATAAATATAATTTAAAAACGATAAAATACGATATATTTATATACAGTAACATAGGATACTGAACAATTTAATTTTAATTTAAATAAAATTTTGAAATATCTACTAACAAATTGTTTTATTTCTGTTTCTTCGATTACTTCGCAAATCACATTTTTTTATTTAAGCAAAATTTGTATCAATTAAAAAAATTATTCATAAATTAATATCTATCAAAGTTAATTTCATAATTCTTCAGTTTCTTTTTTCATTTATCGAAATCTAAAATACGATATGGAATAATCTCATGTTCCACCCGAAATGCTAAGGATAATCCAGTTTACATTCTTCGTTGAACAAGAGAATATCGTAAAGAAGCCGAACGCACCTTTCATTTTCCCACATTTTCGATACAATAAGCGTTCCTTAAGTAGAAACAGCAAGAAAACCATTCGATAGGAAAAGAATTGACACTGACAACCGCAGCTGCGTTTCCGCTTCATCGGTCTGACGAATGCAACGTAAATGAAAAATCGATTCTATCAATCGACAACATTTCTTTTTTTTTCTTTCTTTCTCTTTTTTTTTTTTTTTTTTT